TTCATGCATGTTCTGGTATTGATTTTTTAATGGGGTGTGGCCAGTGGGCTGATGAGAGGAGAATAATAAGCTTGTGATATCAGGTATGAGAAGAGAGTTGTTGCAGTGTACAGAATGGCTTGTGTGCTATAGATGCCTGATGATGGGGGTAGGAAAGAGGATGGATTCAAATCAGGGGAAGAACACTGGGAATGAAGTTCGATGAACTAAGCAAGTGATCTTGCAAAACTTATTCTGCGGAAATAATGGTACACCCGTGGTATGTGATTCTTCACTGCTTCAGTGCTGTGAGATACTGCAAAGAGATCTGCACTTTTTAAAGCAGATCACAGTGTAGCAGAAAAAGCCCACATACCCACAGCTTGAGTTTCTGTTTGTTGCCCAGATAGCAGTGCCTGCTACAGTTCCTGATACTTTTGTTTCTCAGAATAGGCAGGTCACTGTGATGCCCAGGTGGTCAGTATGACACATATTGAGGGACCAATCAAAGACAGCCAAGTGCCCTACCTCTGTACTTCCCCTTTGTAACCTCACAAAAGCCTCTCTCCCTGAGCCTTTGGATCTCACATTTTTATAAGAACTGATTTCTTGTCGCTGCCCCAAAACACAAACAAATCTATCTCTGGATCTTGTGTTGCTGCCGTGTTTGAGTTTGCTATAGCAACAGCATGGTAGAAGAAATACCTCCTGCAGGTCCAGTGAGAGCCTCTTGCATAGAGTTTCAAGGTAATTGAAAGGGGAATGTTAGCAACTTTCCTTGCCCTTCATAGGACTGACAAACACATGGCAGGGTGGGGTCAACTCTTATAAAAGTAATGTTTGAAATCTGGCCCCTTCCCCAAAAGAGCTGTGACCGCCTAAAAGACACAATGTTTTGGCCATTTATAATATCTTGTCCTAGAAGTTATTTTGATGTTCATTCAGCAGTTTAATTTTACATTTGAGAAAGAGAATCATTTTTAAAACTTTGTCTTGGCTCTATAGGATCTCCTTTTTTTTTCCTTTTCTTGGTGCGTCTCTCTGTGTGTCTCTGTCTCTGTTTCTCTTTCCCCCTTCCTCCCTCTCCCTCTTTCTCTCTGAAAAGAAGTGGCCCTGTAGAATTTTCTCGAAAAGAAAGAAATGGAGGCTAATGATACTTAGGAAGATGGGTGGTGTTGTGAGATGAATGCCTTAATTTTGACAGAAATTAGTCTGCATGTCTTGTTTGCTTGTAAAACGTATGGAAAGAAAGATCTTTGTGGAGAATAAAGCTGCATATGTCTTTGTGAGTGGTACTGAAGAATGGAAGCAAAAATGGCCCAAAAAAACCCTTGTGTACTTGCTGCTAAGTGTTATGAAGCATTTTCTGACAAGTTGTTTGCCATCATCGCATGATAGCTTTATTTCCGGGTATCACCAAATGAAGATCCTTCAGCTTCTCTCAGGTCATCCGCAGTATATAATGAGGCAGAATCACAATTTGGCTGCTCACATATGCTGTGCTACATTGATGAGAGATGTGACAGGACTGAAGTTTGTTTTGTCCAGGAGCTTTAATCTTCATGGAGGCAGTAAGACCAAGAGATCTGCATGATGCATCACTTCCAGATGATCCACTGAGTCTCAGGACAGGGGGATGGCTCTGCAGGAGTGACAGACAGGCTGAGGGGACAATGCATACTCATGATATCCCCAAGGGAGTCTTCTCCATCCTTCTACCTCTGTGCCAGACACTCAGCAGAGCACACATCCCAGCTGCTCTGTTGTTTCCTTCACTCTTACTACTGGACAGAGGCCTCAGCTGCAACTTGTTCTTCAACCTCTCTCTCTCACACAGTGCAGTCTGTGCTGTGCTGCTCCCCAGAGAGCAGTGCAGGAGGGCAGCTGGGCATCTCTTGGCTGGGAGGTTTTTGTTTAGGGCTGTGTCACTGTGGTAGGATGTTTTGTATCTTGTAAACAATAATAAACTCCAGTGTCCTCAGCCTCCACCTTGCTGATTTTTAGTGTGAAATCTGTCCCTGAGGCACTGCCACTGAACCTGTCTGAGATGCCAGGAAACCAGCTGGAAACTTTATAAATCATGCCCTGAGGAGCCTGGCCTGGCTTGTGCAACATCTAGCTCAAATAGGTGTTTCCATCACTATGCAAGAGGCTCTCACTGGACCTGCAGGAGATGGAGGCTGCTCTCCCGGAGAGATGGAGAGAGATTGTGGGGTCTGTGTCATCACATCTCCTGTGGATCCTAAAATGGTGAAAGAGAAATGCAAAATCATGAATCAACTATCATGGTTTTCTCTTTCCTGCCATTATCAAGCTAGAGTATTGTCATATACTTTATATATATATATATTATATATATAAATATATACTTTATATATATATAATATATATATATATTTTCTAATCACAAGAATCACAAGAATCCCTCTAGAATTGGTATGAGCAACCCTCTCTTTCTTTTTTGGAAGTCTTCCTGATAGGTCAGGTCCTGAGTCCTTTAAGAATTTTCTTCACTCTGATCTAACCTCACACACCCATGGTTCAAGTGAGGGCTGCACATCTCAGGTGTGGACAGAAATCATTTGAGTGGCAGTGGGACCCCGAGGCTCTCCCTCTTACCTCATGCCCCTCCTGATATCCCTGTGTCCTTACCAGTGATCCAGAACAGTAGCAGCCCCAGGAGCTGAAAAGCAAGCCTCATTTCATGAAACTGAACTGAAGAGTCCTGATCAGTTAAGGGAAAGCTAGAGCCAGCTTATATCTGAAACTTTCTTGGGAAGGTCCTCCCTGGGGACAAAATGCCAATTCCATGGTGGGTGCAGTGGTGTAGAAAGAGAAAACAGCATGGTGGGAGGCTTCTCATGTGAGCCCAGTGGTATAAAATATCTCTGCATTGGGAGGAAAACAATAGAGCTACAGTCCATGCTGTGTCCGAGTCTCCATCAGGTACAGAATATTCAGGGCTGTGCCCATCCCAGACAGGACTGAAGTCCCCAGGATATGGGGGCGTGTGCAGATCAGTTTCTGGGAGGGGAAGGCTCGTGCTTCTTAGCCTTGGGAACAAAGAAATTCTCACTTCATGAGAACTCATCTTAATATTTTTTTAAATGTAAGATCTGATAGGAGCAGGTAAACTCTCATCATCTTATATTTATAAGTATTAGAAAAATATTTTATATGATCTAGAAATTAAATGATATAAAAGCACCAAAGTTAAAAGAAGTATGATACAGAGTAAAATATTTATCTTCAAGTTGTAAATTTGCTTCTCCATGGAACGCAAAAGGGAAAAGGAAAAAAATATATGCCCTACATAGTGGATGTGAATTTGCTTGTGAATAGGTTTTGAAATTTGTAAATTTCTAAGGATGCCTGTTTCCTTGTAGAAATGTATACACACAGTTGCCCACAAACACACACATTCTGGATTTATCAAAACCTTTCTTGAAGAAAGATTTCTCTTGATTTTAACATACAATGAAAAATTGTACTACTGTTCAGAATGATCATAAAATATCCTTCTCATATCTACTGTTCCTTTTAATAGATATTACACAGCTACAGCCCATAGTTTAAAGCAATATTCTAAACGTCAGAATGTCACCATTGAATCAAGGTTTTACCATCTCAGAGTAATTTGAGCCAGTGACTGACATGGCCCTGGAGGGTATCTGAGGTGGTCACGTGGAAAGGGGTCAGTTTGAGAGTCCCATCAAAGCTGTGAGAGAGTAAAGCCACGCTGTCACTGGTCTGTAGGTGAGATGATGGGTTCAATGAGGGGAAGAGCACTGGAAATCAAGCTCTATGAACTGAGCAGGTGACCTTGCATAACTTATTATGAGGAAATAATAGTACATGGGAGGCATCAGGTTCTTCATCATCAGTTTTGACTCTGAGGTTTTACAAAGACATCTGCATCTGGTCATTTTTTCTTTTACTCAGGAGATTATTTCTACTTTAAATTCCTTTAAAGCTTCCCGGAGTTGCTTCTTTACTTAAGTTGCTATTATTTCAGCTATTTCAGGTGTATGGCATATATTTTCTTCTGTGTACATTGCTCCTAGGGTTTCTTGGGATGGGTGGATTTTTCAGATTGTATTTTGGTCTTTTGTTTTGTCATTTTCCTATATTTCTGTGTTTCAAGTGTTATTGCAAGGCTTCCCCCGGGCCTGTTGGAAATCCTCTTCTATCCCCTCAGCTCCTGGGCCTTTGGCCACCCAGGTCCCCAGATTGAGAAAGGGTCACTGGGGGCGGGGCAGGTCAGCTCAAGATGCACTGAGCTGGTCCAGTGCCACAGGAAGCAGTAAAGTTCCCTGTCCGGGGCCAAGCTAGGATCCCAAACTAGCTGGGCTCAGGGGATGGTGTGGGCACACTCACCCCAGGCTGCCCAGCCTCTGGAATTGTTGAGGCTGGCAGGCCCAGAACTCCAGAGTCCTGGTCCTGTTCTTGAACTTGGATGGGGAACCCCGCCAAAAGCCGCCTTTCTAGTTGTTGGGCAATTCCCCTTCCCTGACTCCTCAGGACTGCAGCTGGAATAGACCTCAATGATGCACTTTTAAAGAAAGAAGTAGTTGATCATTGAAAAAACATCAAGGGAAGGCAAGAAAAACAAACAAAAAAACCAAAAAATAGAAAACATACCAACTGAATAGTGAAAATGGAAGCAGAACCCACCAGAAAGTATGTGTCCAGCAAACGTATTTATAAGTGAGCATGTTACAGGAGCCTTCAAATAGAAAGATCTCAATAACTAATATCATAATTCAGACATTTATTTAAGTTCTCCTTAATTTAGAGAAAAGATATAAGCATAACTGACATCCTCTTAGTGAACTAGGTAGAAAGAGAAAACTCAAAGAAATGCAGTTTGCCTTTACATTTAAGGCTTATATCACTCTTTGGGAGCTGAAAAGGAATCTTCCCTGCTTTCATTTAATACTTACATTGTTAGCCCTCATCTATAGTTTCCAGTGCAGGTTTTAACTCCTGTTTTGACTTCTGCATTTTGGGTTACATTGCAGGACCCAGGCTGCCTTCTTCTGTGAATATTCATTGCCTGATGAGACTGCAGCTAAGACTGAATCCCTGACCTCCAGAATCTCACAATTCATCTGTCCCTAGAACACTGAAGATTGGAAGACTGATGGCATCTTGAAATTCTGAAGTTCCACTCCTCATGCCTATTGCCACTCCATGTACATTTATTAATCTCCTGTGGAGTTTATCAGGCAGTTCCACCCGGCAATACAGCACACTGGTGCAAGATAATGACAAAGAGAGAAAATCCTACAGTTCAGGAGCTCTGGGAACCAATGTTATTCATGGAACTAGAGGCCATGAATTCCAAAAGTTCATGGCTTTTATCAGTATCAATCAGAGATGTGGGTCGGGGTCATGGCTGAGCGTTTAGAAAGAGACACTTTGCAGGCATTGGCTGTACCAGCCACAGAGGCTCTCCAATTAGACAGGATATTTGATGCTTGCAAATCTGGAACCTTTCCTTCTTGGATGGTGTAATTCTTCCTTAGTCCCAATGCTTCTGCTGAGATACTGTCTTATGTGTTAGCCCTGGAATTGCAGAGGCCACTCCTGGAGCCCCCATTCCAGGTGTCAACACTGTGGATAATGATTACCTGGGCTTGATCTCATTCTTCTAGCTGGATAAGGAAACCACCAGCTCCATATAACCAGCTCAGCATATCTCAATGAATAGAGTTGAAGGACAGGCAAAGGGGCTTGTTTCTCTGGAGAGCACAGCTTGGCAGTCTCCCATAGACATCAACACAAACTCTCTTGTGACTCATTCAAGTACATGACACTTATCCTCCTTTTACTTTTCTCTCTCATCTCACATTCAATATGTCTGTAAAGCTTATTTGCTCTAATTTTAAAATATGACCAGAATCTGTCCGCCTTTCAATACATCTACTGATGGGTCAAAGCTCTGACATGTGAGCACATTCAGACATGGATAAAAGTATCAGAGGAGGTGAATGGGACTTTTTAATATTACTTTGAAAGTAGGGCCCAAAGGCCAACTTTTAGAACAGATATTATTGTCCCATTATCAAACTCTTCATTTTTGAAAGGCCACACCAGGAAACAAGCACCATCTGAGAACCAGTGCCTTGCAGGCTGCCACTGGTCTGTGGACAGTCAGTCCTCAGCCCCTTCCAGCTTGCAGGATGACAAACAAGAAGTATCAGTGCACCCCCCACAATTTCCCCAACCCAGAAACACAGGCTGTCATGATAGCTATCAATGTGAAATGCAATTGGATGCCTGTGGTGCTTTGATGTTTCACTGATATTGCAGATATAGGGCCAGTGGTCTGATCGTAGGTTCAGGGGATAGCTGTACACAAGGTGACAGCTAGAGAGGATCTCCTTCTGAGGGTTCCATCCATTGTTGATTCTCTATGGTCTAGTTTTGAAAGTCATATATTATTTCCATTCTTTTGTTGGGTTAGGTTTTATTCTCTCTCTCTTTTTTTTTTTTGATTATGTTAAGTCGGATGGCAAGAGCAGCTGTTTCAAAGACAGCAGTATGTATTATGGTAGCAATTTTGGATTTACTATTGGCTTGTTTTGAATTTCTTTATTGCATTTATTGTTTTTATTGTTTGTATTTTACTCTGTTCTGTTTGATTTTTACTATGTCCAAAGATCTCTTCAGCTATTTTGAAGACAACAAAAGGCATTCTGTTAATTATTGCTGATTTTGTAATGTATTAAAATGTTGTATCACTTACATTGGTTTATTTTTATTGGTTTTGTTCTGTTTTATTCTCTTTAAAAATAATTTAAAAACAAACTTGTCGCTTTCTCTCAGTCTACTTTTAATTTTGGGGAAGCAGATATCTTGAGGGATTTTAACAATAAGGAAGATACTGGGGCCTAGAGATTTATCAAGTGTCACAAGGATAGGTTGTATTGATGGCTGTTTAATCCTAGAAGTAGGATGCAACTTCCTGTTAGCTTGTAAAAATCTTAGAAAGAAAGAATCTTGTAGTGACTAAACTCTTCTGTGTCTTAGTGAGTAATAATGCACAACAAAGGAACAAACATTTATAAATTCCGTTTCCCATTGTTATGAAATGCTGTGAGAAATTTTCTCACAGGACTCATTTGCTCCTATCCCATGGTTGCTATATGCCTGCATATCACCAAATGAACACCCTCCAACTTCTCTGGTTAGATCCAGTGCACAATGATGCAGAGCCCCACTTTGGATGTCCACCTTTCCCTTGCTGCATTGATCAGAAAGATGTGGCGTCACCCAAATTTTATTTTTGAGCTGAAAACTTTATTAATCTTGGAGTCTGTAACAACTGAGAGCCCGGCATCAGGATCCATGTAGGGCCAATGGAACCACACTTGGTAGCCCAGATGTGATCTGTCCCCTCTGGCCTTGTGAGCTGGGAGCAGATCTCCAGGAGTGATGGGCATCCTGAGAAGACAATGTATGGCTGTTAATTCCCTCCTGGGTAACATGATAAGAGGGCAGTGAAAGGGGACTGGGGATTTAGCTCAGTGGCATAAGTGCCTGCTTGCAAGCAGTCAGTCATGAGTTCGATCCCTGGTACCAATAAAAACAAAAAAGACCAAGAGAGAGAGAGAAAGAGAGAGAGAGAGAGAAAGGGCAGTGAAAGATAAAGTACTAACCTTTTAAGCCATTTCCATTTTATTAATAATTTTTGGCTAAATTCATGTTTATGTGTTTCTTTTGGTTTTATTAATTTTCACAAAGGAACAGAATTTTAAAGGCCTAAAGAAACTGTAGTGCTCAGTTGCATCCTTCTCCCTCTGTGTCAGATCCCTCAGCAAAGAACATATTCTTGTTACACTGTTGTCTTCCTCAATCTTCCTCCAGGGCAGAGGCCCCAGTTGCAACTTGTTGTTCTGATTCTTCAGCCCCTTCCTCTCACACAGAGAAGTCTGTGCTGTGCTGCTCACCAGACAGCAGGACGGGGGGCAGCTGGGCCTCCCCAGGCAGGGAGGTTTGTGTTTGGGGCTGTAGCATTGTGGGAGGAATATACATACCTTGCCAACAATAATAAACTCCAGCATCCTCAGCCTCCACCCTGCTGATTTTGAGAGTGAAATCTGTCTCTGACAAACTGCCACTGAACCTGTCAGAGACTCAAAGAGTCTTGATTGGAAACCTGATAAATCATTTCCTGTGGAACCTGACCTGGCTTGTGCACAAGCCAATACAAATAGGTTTTTCCATCACTAGCCAGGAGACTGACTGGATGTACAGGAGATGGAGGCTGACTCTCCAAGTGAGATGGACAGAGAGAGTGGAGTCTGGGTCATCACCTCTCCTGTGGATTCTAAAATGATGAAGTCAAGGCCACATGCAAACATCTTGAGCCATTTCAATTGTTTACACTTTTTCATATACATCCGTCTAAATGATTTTTGCCATTTTGATGTGCACACAAAATATTCAGTTTGAAGAACAGGCCCCTAAACTAGCAGCCACAAGGAAACCTACAGTGTTTCCCTGCAAAATTTCTGTCATTTTTCTGCAAAATCATCATCAGAGGATATAGGTCCTTGTTCCCACTGGCATCCTCATCCTGCAGACCCACGCCTCCATGATGCATGATGAAGAAGTCCATGATGCAGGCCAAACTTGCCATTGTCACTGTGTTCTGAGAACACCTGGGCAGCATGGGGCATCCAGGGCCCACCTGTCACCCCATCTCCCCCTAGGCTCCCCATGTCCTTACCAGGCAGGCAGAGCATGAGCAGACCCAGGAGCTGAACATGGTGCCTCATTTTGAGAAGTTGGAGTGAGAAGTCCTGATTACCCAGAGTGAGGTGACGAGGGAGCTCTTATCTCAGACTTGCATGGGCAGTTCCTCTATGAGGAGCAAGATGCAAATTCCCTGGTGGGTGCAGTGGTGAAGGGCATAGCACTAGCCCTTTCTTTTGAACAGAATGATGGAAAATATTTTCTGTGTTTGGATGGAATTGGTAGAGATACATTCCTTGCTTTGTGTAGCTGTGGGCATGAGGTCCATAGCATGTAATTCTGCACCTCCCACAGGAGCCCAAATACCCCAGCGCAGCACCCGGCCCTAGGACACATGCATGTGTGTTCAAATCAGGGTCCAGGAGGGAAAGCTTACCCCGCTCAGCGTCTGCCCTAGCTCTGAAGGAAAATGCACCTTACAGTGATTTTCAGAGATTTCCACCACAACAACATGGTCGGAGGCTGTAAAGACTCTGGCCACTGCTGTTCCCTTACAAACTCTGTGAGGACTAAAATCATGTTAGAAATAATTATTCCTGAATTTGGTAGCTAAACTCAAGAAAAGCACTCATGTTGAAAGAAATTATGTTTCTTTCTGAAGAATAGGTTACAACTTTATGAATATTAAATGGAAATTTTTTTTAAAATATGCCTTCTATCATGAATGTATATTTTAAAAATTTGTGAATATTCTGTCACCTTTATCTCCATTAATATTTATCAAATTATATTCATTGAAGTATAAACTCTAATATATATTTACTTATAAAATTATATATCCTTATATAAATGTCAGATGTGTATATATTCACATCAGATTAATAAAAATGTTTCTTAATATAAAAATCCCTGCTCAGGATGGAGGAGGTATAATTTTATAGCTGGTTTTATTTCCAGGTTGGCTCTGGATGCCCCATGATGCCCAGATATGCTCAGAACACAGTGAGAATGGCAGGTTTGGCCTGCATTATGGACTTCTTCAGAGGTGTGGGTCTACAGGGTGAGGATTCCAGTGGGAACAAGGACCTATATCCTCTGATGATGATTTTGCAGAAAAATGACAGAAATGGTACAGGGAAACACTATTCATTTTCTAAGTGGCCATAAAGTCCTTGTCATCAGTGTGTTTTATTTTCCTAGGCACTGTGTAGCCTCAGTGTTAAAAGGAGCCCATGTGAGGACATCAGGGTGACCCCAGGCTTCTTCCTGTCTCTGTGCAGTGTGAATGAGTGAGAAGCTTAGGCCAGGATGATCCTGGGAGTGGTGCAGGGTCCGATCTGCTGCGGGAGTTCAATTTCAGATTCCTTCCTCCAAGCCAGGGAGATGAATCCTTGTGTTGAAAGACTGAAGTCCATGGTATTTGTTTTTTAATGACAGTCCAAGAAATCTGGCACATCCTCTCAGAGCTCCTGTCTACTCTCTTTATAAATAAATACTCCAGTACGTCTACTTTCCCTTCTCTCCTACCTTCTTTGTATTTTCTTTCCCTGTTTGCCTGAGGTTAAAATCATAGCCTTCATGCTAAGCTATATCCTCGGCCTCTTTTATCCTTATTTTTTGTATTTTGATGCAGCATCTCCTTAAGTCACTAAGTTAGTCAGTTTAGGCTTGCACTTGACATCCTCCTGCCTCAGCCTTCCAGAAACCTGGGATTACAGTTATGTGCCATCTGGCTTAGATGTCTCTGTCTTCTGAGTGCTTTTATCTCTGTAAGCACTTTGAAAAGTTGGTATGATGGCTTGCTTGGATTTTCTGGACCTTGGTGTAGTTCTTTTTAAAATTTCATACTTTTTTATTAGTGCATGCTTGCAGTACATAATGATTGCATTCATCGTGGAGAATGGGTCCATATTCAGGACATATCTTAATTCCTATTTCTCCTCCATCTCATTTGTAAATTACTAAGGGTCTATTTTTTTGTGTCTAACATGAGTTACCAGTAGCAGCTAACATAAAGGACAGTAAGCTGCAGGTCACTAGAACAGGCACAGAGCAAAGTTCTAATATCTCACAGAGGTGTAGAGTGGATACAAAAGCCTGCTGCAAAACAACTTGGGCAGATTTAGTCGTTTTTAATGTTCTTGCCACTGGAAATTGAAGAGATCCAAATCTGTGTACAGTTTGACTGTTTATTTTTAAGTTTTGTTTTAATCATGGTAAAATTTAACATAACAAAACATCATAAGAAAACCATGTATGAGACACAGATTTCAAAGCAAGACAACCAAAGTCTCCACTGTTTATTATATTGTCTCTTGTTTTCTTCCAAATAGTTTTCCATACCTTCACATACAACGAATTCATAAAAGAAAAAATAGTATAAAATTAATCAGAGTAGGATGACGAATGCATTTTAGGTCTTCAAGAGCAAACAATAGGGAAGTCCACAATGCCTGCCATAGTGTCTCTCATTCTCTTCTAAATAGCTGTCCATACCTTTATGTATGTTGAAATTAAAGAAAACAAAACAGACTAAAATTGATCTGAACAAAGAATAATAATATTGCTGGATTTCACATCATGATGCTACAGGATCAGCACTGGGTACCTTAGTGTCTCTTTTTCTTCAAAGTAGCTGTTCCATTCATTGTGCATTATATAATACATTCTTATAAACTGTTTCGAAGTTCTATGCATGCATGAGTCTCTACATGTATATCTATTTTTTCTGTATTGGAGGGAAAACAAAACAAAAGAAGACAAAACAAAACAAATTCCTAGAAAAACACTGAACGAAAAAGAAATATAAACAACAATAGCAATGAGCCCAGAACACTGACGGTATAGGCCTTCAAATAAAGGTGGTATGAGTGTGGCTAGGGTTATTATTTTACATAACAATCTTTATGAGTTCCTCAGATCACCATACAATAACATGCAAAATTATTCCAATCCTAGGAATGCTAACTATTTTGTTTCAAGAACTTATAGAATTTGTAGCACAATTGTCTTAGCTATCCTCAGTGTGTTTATAAAATTTTAGGTGT